GGTGATCCTGCCAATGAGTCTTTATTTTTCAGGAGAAAACACTTGCAGGCAGGTGCAGTTGATGTTTTCACTGCAAGTGGTGCTCAACTGCATTGCAGAGGGAGAAGAAGTCAAGAGGAAAACATGGCTCCTCTATGGTTTCCTGAGTCACTGGGGAAGCTATCCGGCTGGATGCTGCCACTCCATGTGACTCTGGAGGCAATCTTGGGTCAGGCAAAGTTTATTTAAGATCCTGGCTCCTGGGGTTGGTGCATTCTGCATGTGGGTATTGTAGGGGCAAGTTACCCATCTGTCAGGGACAGTAAATAGCGGTAGGGAAAGGTTCCTGACAAGTAGGGAAAGGATTGGATCACTCCATCCATCCACAGACTAGACTCTGTGTGTTAACTTCCACGGCACCATGCTGCACTTCCTCAAACACTGTCCTGCAGACAGGGGCGGACTGACAACTCATGGGGCCCCCGGGCAATAGGAAATCATGGGGCCCCTGTGTCCTTGCCCACACTCAAACCACACCCAATAAAGCCTATGAAAGGTACCAGGGGCATCTCATGGGGCCCCCTACTGACCCCGGGCCCTCGGGCAGTGCCCGAGTGGCTAAATGGTCAGTCCGCCCCTGCCTGCAGATATAGCAGTGAGAGGGTTGGCACAAAGCATATACCATTGACATGGATGCTTACAATGATCAGCTTGTATTCATTTATATAAAGCCTTTTTCCCCTAAGGAACAAAACCATTTCTATAACTGCTCAAAAAGTGTTATTTGGAATTTGTATTCAATTTGTTAGTTTATCTAAATCTGGTAATACATCAACACTCCCCTCCCCCAGACTTACAATAGTGCTGTCAAAAGGTGTCTCTGTTGCTCCTTTATCCAGAGCATAGTGTCTAATACCGGAGGTGTCTTACTGGCTAGATTACCAGATGAAAACGGGGAAAAAGCCTAAAACATAAAACTAATGCAGTCAACACTAATAGTAATTGGTAAGCTGAAATATATAACACTTTTGGGTTTATTACCACTTTAATATCACATTAATATTCCTAATTGTTCCTAAGCTATTACAAATATTTTTCCTGGAGCATTATGGCAGCATACACTGCAATAAAATATATAGTCAATGAGCACTTAATAGTTTAGCAGCTAATGCACATAAAGGTAACCAAGTAAAAACCTCAAAAAGCTAAAATTCATAAAGGTGCAGCACTTAAAAAGGTATTTCAAATTGGATAAAATATAACGATATAAAATTATAACGATATAAAATTATAAAATAGTGACAGTTCGTGGTAAGGTGCTTGATACAGGAGTTGATGGTGACTTCAAACTTCAGTGGCATGCTAATAAATGATTGTAAAAATACGCACTCACCGGATGCGTATCTTTAAATACGCAGGTAATTAGTATGACCATAGGTCCCCTTCTGAGGAAGGGATGGATGAGTTGGGCCGTTTTAACGGACTCTCTTTCCTATGGGTGGTATGGAGCTACAGAGATGTCTCCCTTGGTGTGTGCGAATAGAATCCAGCCAGAGGCCTCCTTAATGGATGGGTGGATGCTTGTCAGCTAATATTGGAACAGCTCCCTCCTCTGGAATGGTGCCACATGAGATTCTGCTCCTATATTCGGTAATCCACATGAAGCATCTGATCTGTACAGATTGGACATGGGTTTCCACAGACCTTGCCTGCTCTAGTGCACTTCTTTCAAGTTTTCTGTGGTGGGATTGATCCTTTGAAGTTCCTCCTGTAATTAGCCCATACTAGATTTTTCCCATAACGCTCAAGGTACTCTTCACTGTTCATATATTCCCAGGGCTTATCTTTACATCGAGATGGCACATTGAAGAGCGCACGAACCCCAACAGGCAGCACAGACACTAGGGGCCGGCTCCACAGGACTCCTCTCACTCCGGTCACACACAACCTGTACGAGAAGGCCGCCACTGTCACTATTTTATAATTTTATATCGTTATATTTTATCCAATTTGAAATAACTTTTTAAGTGTTGCACTTTTATGAATTTTAGCAGTATACACTGGGTTGTGGCTCCGTCCCCACAACCTGATAGAACTGGTTAGCTATAAGTTCTTTAGCCAGGGCACACCACAGCATTCTCCTTTTTGTCCTCACCTGTGTAGGACCGGATGGAACATGCAATACCCCTTACCGCATTCGCCCCAGCCAGGTTCAGCCTCTCCTGGATGGAAATCCCATCCTGTGCAGCCTCTTAATGAGCTAGATGGGGGCCAGTCTGATGGTCTTGGGGGTAGGCTAAGTAGCACTAATCAAGCTTTAAATGTGTTGCAGCGGTTCTCCTGTACCTTTTTTCCTTGTATCTTCCTGGATTGGGTTCTTTTGGGCTCTATAGTCCTCCAGGGTTTCTATGCCCTCTTCCAAGATGGTGCTGCACTTGGAGGCATCTGAGCATGTGCGGCAGGAAGTAATGTCAGTAGGGAATCTCTTTTTGCCAGCTTCCAAGATAGTGCTGTAGCCTGCAAGTCACGACTGAGCATGTGCAGCAATGTTGGTCTTGGCTGTCATTCTGCTGTTCAGCAGACCATCTTCAGCCTGAAAGGTAAGGGGTGTGGTAAGTAGTGAAGATAGACAAAAGAGAGCCATGCACTAACGCTGTCATAACTTGGCAGCTTTTCCAGGTCATCAAGATCAGTGTTTTTTCAACCTTTTTTGTGCAAAGGCACACTTTTTTCATGAAAAAAATCACGAGGCACACCACCATTAGAAAATGTTAAAAAAATTTATTGAAAAACTTTTTGACTTGAGGGCCGCAATGGGTTCATATATTGGACCCGGGGGCCGGACCAAGAGTAGATGAATGATGTGTATGTGTCATCCATAGTAAGTATAGTAATATTCCCCCATAGTAAGCATAGTAATTAATCCCCCATATAGTAATTCATCCCCCATAGTAATTAATCCCCCATATAGTAATTCATCCCCCATATAGTAATTCATCCCCCATAGTAATTCATCCCCCATATAGTAATTAATCCCCCATATAGTAATTCATCCCCCATAGTAATTCATCCCCCATAGTAATTCATCCCCTATATAGTAATTCATCCCCCATAGTAATTCATCCCCCATAGTAATTAATCCCCCATATAGTAATTCATCCCCCATAGTAATTCATCCCCCATAGTAATTAATCCCCCATATAGTAATTCATCCCCCATAGTAATTCATCCCCAATATAGTAATTCATCCCCCATAGTAATTCATCCCCCATATAGTAATTCATCCCCCATAGTAATTCATCCCCCATATAGTAATTCATCCCCCATAGTAATTCATCCCCCATATAGTAATTCATCCCCCATATAGTAATTCATCCCCCATAGTAATTCATCCCCCATATAGTAATTAATCCCCCATAGTAATTCATCCCCCATATAGTAATTCATCCCCCATAGTAATTCATCCCCCATAGTAATTCACCCCCCATATAGTAATTCATCCCCCCTATAGTAATTCATCCCCCATATAGTAATTCATCCCCCATAGTAATTCATCCCCCCTATAGTAATTAATCCCCCATATAGTAATTCATCCCCCATAGTAATTCATCCCCCATATAGTAATTCATCCCCCATAGTAATTCATCCCCCCTATAGTAATTCATCCCCCATAGTAATTCATCCCCCATAGTAATTCATCCCCCATATAGTAATTCATCCCCCATAGTAATTCATCCCCCCATAGTAATTCATCCCCCATATTAATTCATCTCCCATATTAAGTCCCCAAGCCCCCCCTGTGTCAATTCACTTACCTTTGCTCCGCGCGTTCCTCTCGCTGTTCCGGTGTAGCATGAAAATCTGTCTCCTATGAGGATCTGTCCCCCTCGACGTATCTGCGCATGTGCCAGTTTCAGGCATTAGCAGCCGATCGGCGATCTCCGGCACATGCGCAGATACGTCGAGGGGGACAGATCATCCTGACAGTATCACGCTCCGCGGGCCGGATTAAAAGGTCCGTCGGGCCGTATACGGCCCGCAGGCCGTAGTTTGCCCATTGCTGTTCTAATGATTGGTCTATTTGTGAGCCGAGGCCACATGTTACGGATGAAATTGCAATTTTTCCCACGGCACACCAGACAATATCTCACGGCACACTAGTGTGCCGCGGCACAGTGGTTGAAAAATGCTGATCAAGATGATCTATTAGAAAACGCAGAGAATGATCGAGTCATGCATCACCATCGGGGCATAAGCATTCAAGAAGATGTCATTCTAGGTCCTCCTCCCACCTGTTCTCATCAAACAAGTTCACTGTTGCCTCATTACCGTCCTTCATCCCATGGTTACCACTCCCATCTAGGGGATAATGCTGCCTGGGAATGTGGGGCGCCAGGGCTTCCTGATAAACTTGCTTGTCGCTCATGCTTGGAGGAAGCAATGAAGGAGAAGGAAGCGGGACATCAGAGAAGTGACGGATCTAATCAGGGAGTCTGTTAGAGAGTCAATCTGGGAGGCATAAACCCCTGTTTAGACACAGCAGCTCCGAGCACTGCTACTGCATGCCCCTGCATCCCGCAAAAATTAGATAGCTCAGCAGAGAGTGAAGATATGGAAGGCACTACAAATTTGACTTGACCTTTGTTGAACCATTTGCCAAGTCCCATTTGGGAGGAGGTGGAAGAAATGCCTTGTAAGACCAGAAGATATTTTCCAAATCTTAAAAAGGAGCCTAAGGCCTTTCCTTTTATTGATCAGCTGGATGAGCTCATTCAGGACGAATGGAAAAAAAGGACAAGAAAATAAGTTTCAACAGCAGATTGGAGAAATTGTACCCTTTAACCACCTCCCGGCTGCCATATAGTGTAATGACGGGCGCAAGGCAGTTCTCTCGTTCTGGGAGGACGTCATATGACGTCGTCCCACTCTAACCGCGCATGCGCGGCTCCGGGGGCTTGCAGCGCGCCGATCGGTGGTGCGCTGTGTCCCTCGAACACAGCGGATCACCGATCGACGGAAAGAGCCGAAGATGTCGGCTCGGTCATGTGATCAGCTGTGTCCAATCACAGCTGATCACATGTAAACAGGGAAATGCCGGTTATCGGCATTTCTCTCCTCAAGAGCTGTCACGCTGACAGCTCGAGAGGAGAGGAGAGCCGGTAATGGGCATTCCTCGGAGGGGACATGTGTGCTGATCGTCAGGGCACTGATGATCAGTGTGCCCTGATGATCAGTGTGGCCCCAGAAGTGCCACCTGTCAGTGCCCATCAATGCCACCTGTCAGTGCCTATCACTGCCACCTGCCAGTGCCCATCAGTGCCACATCAATGGCACATATCAGTGCCTACCAGTGCACATCAATGCCACATATCAGTGCCCATCTGAGCTGCCTTATCAGTGCCAGTCAGTGCCACCTATCAATGCCAGTCAGTGCCACCTATCAGTGCTGCCAGTCAGTGCCACCTATCAGTGCTAGTCAGTGCCGCCTATCATTGCCAGTCAGTGCCACCTATCAGTGTGCATCAGTGCCACCTATCAATGCCCATCAGTGCCGCCTAACAGTGTCAGTCAGTGCCACCTAACAGTGCCAGTCAGTGCCACCTATCAGTGCCACCTATCAGTGCCAGTCAGTGCCATTTATCAGTGCCACCTATCAGTGCCATATTTGAGTGCTACCAATGCTACATTCAGAGATGTGTTAGACTGCAAAATAGATCTTGACCTGAAGCGTACATACACAGCAGCTAGTGGTGACTGTAGACTGGCCATTACTCTGGCGGCTGTAGGAAAGGTGGTATCCGGCTGGACATCCAACATCAAAAAATCTCTAGTGGAATGAGCCGATCAAGAAAAGTTAGTATCAGCTCTTCAGGAGCTTAAATTGGCCAGGGACTTTGTGAAGGAAGCATCCATAGATGTGATCAGATCTTCTGCGAGAGCAATGCTATCCTCTTTGCTAGAAGGTTGAAGCCCTGGGCAGCGGACATTGCATCAAAGACCAATTGGTGCAAAATACATTATGATGGCCATCTCCAAAGTTACTGGTGGGAAGTCAGGCCTGATTCCATCACAAGCCCAGACCACAAATCGGTCCGTCTTACAAACTAAGTCTTCTGGACAAGTACAAGGATAAATTGCCATCACCACCATGAAGGTTCAGCCTGGGATACATATTTCTACCAACACCTCTAATTGCAAGGTTCCTGTCCGGCTCAGAAGGTCCACGAGCACGGTGATAGCAGTAATTCCATTCTGGCCAAGGAGGCCATGGTTCATGACTTCTGCAAATCAGTTTGGAGGATCCCATACCTCTTGCAGTAACCCCATATTTTCTGTCTCAGCATCAGTTCCTGCACCCAGCACCGGAGAGGCTACACCTTATGGCTTGGAAGCTGAAAGGCAAAGGTTCTTAAAGCATGGCTGTTCTCAGGAGGTGGTGGAAACTCTGGTCCAGGCTAGGAAAAGCACCACAAACAGCACATACTGGAAGATATGGCAAAGCTTCCTCTCGGTTGCTCAACAACAGTCTTAGGATTTGTCAACCCCCTGAGGTGGCACAAATTCTTCAGTTTCTTCAAATCGGGCTCAGTAAAGGCCTAAGTGCAAGTACCTTAAAGGTCCAAGTCTCAGCTCTCTCTGCCATGATGGGAATAAAGTGGGCCGTGAATCCTCTTGACATCCAGTTCATAAAAACATGTCTGAAAATCAGACCACTAAGAAAGCCCATATTTCCTGCTTGGCATCTGTCAATAGTCTTGGAGGCCCTATCATGTTCCCATTTTCATCTGTTGGAGTCAGCTTCATTGTGGGACTTAACCTTGAAGGTGAGATTTCTAATTGCCATAACTTCAGCAAAAAGAGTTTTGGAGATACAAGCACTAGTCATCAAAGAGCCTCGTCTCCTCTTTTATCCTGACAGAGTAATTCAGAGACCCTCAGACCATTTTATTCCTAAGGCAGCCACTTTGTTCCACTTTAATCAAGAAATTATACTGCTAATGTTCCTTAGCAAGCAAGGGACGTTACATCCATTGCATGTTTGGCAGAGCATCAAAGCTTATCTGGCGGTCACTAATTCATTTAGGAAGTCAGACAATCTCCTGGTAATTCCTCACCGTCTCTGAAAGGGGCAAGCAGCAGCATCTCACACTATAGCATCATGGTTAATAAAAGCTATAAAGAAGGCCTACGCAACACAACAACTTCCAGTTCCTGAGGACTTGAAAGCACATTCTCTGAGGGCAGTAGTATCATCCTGGGCAGTGTACTGCAAAGTTTCTCAGGAGATGATATGCAAAGAAGCGACTTGGTCATCCACAAGCACATTCATTTCGCACTACCGTGTGGATCCAGCGCAGCAGATTACAGTAGAGTTTGTCAGATCTGTTACTCAAGCTGGTCATGCTGGTTACGGGTAATGAATTTGAGTTCTTCTTGTACCTACCCGAGGAAAACAGAAAATTGTATACTCACCTTTCCATAATTTTCCTTTCCTGGTGCATTTTCATGGCAGCCTTATAGATAATCGGTCCTATCAGGTTGCGGGGGCGGAGCCACAACCCATTGTATGCTGCCATGAAGATGTACCAGGAAAGGTAAATTACTGAAAGGTGAGTATACAATTTTCCATTTTTTTATTCAAATGCTGAAACTCTACCATCCTATTAATTCATATACAGGTTATGTTACTAAATAGTTTTATTTCATATTTCATGTTTTAACAATACAGTTATACTGTAGATCAAAAACAAACAACAGTGCTACAAATACTTTTGGACAGATAGAAAACAACAAATATTTTGAGTCTTCTTGTCTGCTCCCTATTTAAAGTGTTACTAAACTCAGGACCCTGCATTCACTATAACTGGTCTCCCACAGTACACAGAACATGGAAATGCAATTATTTCAGTAAATATAAACTGCTAAATACCTTTTCTCATCAGCAGTTAGAGAAATCTTGTGACTTCTATCAGTGTTCAGCAGAGCACTGGTTAAAGCTTGTAGGAGGAATTTTCATTCTCCCCTGATTGCTCTATGGGACTGCAGGACCCCCAATCCTCTGTCTGGACAGTGCTGATTGGCCCTGTGCTAATCACATGCACACTCCCAAGAAAATAAAAACTCTCCAGCAATATACACCAAACTGAGCATGTGCAGCTTTCCCCCAGGCCTCTGTTCTATCAGCAGATGGACTGGGGACAGTGGATGAAGGGGAGGATCAGAGAAGTCAGGATCAAACATCCTTTTTACACAATGCAGAGGACTAATCCCTTAGGTTTCCCAGTGAGCATAACAAGCATGCTGTACTGCATATAAAGACTGATTTTACTGTTGTAGGTTTAGTAACACTTTAAAGAAAGATTCTGAAGTGTATGTTCATCTATGGTCTTTTGGATAGCAATAAGATTATCAAGCTGACAATATCTGTTGTTTCCCCTCTACATGTCTGTGACTTGTAAGGAAACATTGAAGTGTATGTGGAGATACTGTGTTGAGGCAAGCACTGGAAGACTTACCCACATTGAACTTTCATTCTATGGAGGCTCCTTGTACATCCCCAACTGTCTCAATTTATGGGGTCTGTTTGAACCCAAATCCCAGGGTTCCACGTATAAACCTCATGTACTAGTGCTGAGCTGAGTTCTGGAAAGCTTGTTCCAGCATTTGAATCCAGTAGATGACCTCTAATCTGCACAGTGTTTGTACAAGAGACTGAAGAAATCTACTCACATTTCTTATTTCTGGTTATGTGACAGAAACTTCACATGATCAGAACTGCATGGAAAGTCTTTGATAGTCTTCCACAATGTGCTCTGAGGTGTCACTCTTGTCTGAGATCTGAAGGGGTTGTGAAGGGAGGTAGAAGGGAGGGTGTTGATATGAGGTCTACAGTAGAGTTTAAAGGGGGACTGATCTGACCATTAAAGTAGTTCTAAAGGCTCAAGGTTCTTTACCTTCATGCATTCTATCCCCCCCCCCCCCTTCCAGCCCTCCTAACACTTACCTGAGCCCCCTCTTGATCCAGCGATTGTCCACGAGAGCCTCAGTTCTCTGGGGACTCTCTCTCCTGACTGAGGCAGCAGCAGAAACCATTGGCTCCCGCTGCTGTCAATCACACCCAGTGAGCCAATCAGGAGAATGAGGGGGCTTTGCCAAGCCATGGCTCTGTGTGTGAATGAACACTCGGAGCCGCCTGCTCAGGTGCCCCCATAGCAAGCTGCTTGCTGTGGGGGCACCAAACAGACAGAAGGGGCCAGGTGAGCAGGCGGGGGACCCAAGAAGAGGAGAATCCAGGCTGCACTGTGTAAAACCATTGCAAAGAACCGGAAAGTATGACATGTTTGTTATTTAAAAAAAAAACAAAAACAAATAAAAAACAAGACTTTAGTATCACTTTAAAGAAGCAAACCAGAAAGAGAGAAATCTACAAAGTTGCACCTTATTGCATTTAAATCATATGCCAGCAGATTTCAGCTACCAGAAGGTTTTACCCCCTTCATGACCATGGCATTTTTTGCTATTCAGCACTATGCTGCTTTAACTGGCAATTGCTCGGTCATGCAATGCTGTACCCAAATTAACAAATTCAATACCGGGCACTTTTACCCCCTTACTGCCAGGCCAATTTTCAGTTTTCAGTGTTGTCGCACTTTGAATGACAATTGTGCGGTCATGCAACACTGTACCCATAAAAAAATTGTATACGTTTTTTCACAAATAGAGCTTTCGTTTGGTGGTATTTAATCACTACTGAGTTTTTTATGTTTTGCTAAATAAACTAAAAACCCTGAAACTTTTGAAAACAAACTCCCACTCCCGCGTGAACAGCTGCTTTTGACAGGATGTTATATAACGCCCAGTCGCAACTGCGAGTGTCCCTCCCGGCCATCAATCTGCTATAGGCTGGGCCGAAAGGTGTTAAAGTGGTTGCAAAGGCTGAAGTTTTTTTAAGGTAAAAAACCTTCTGTGTGCTGCTTCACCTACAGTCCCCCTAATAGTCACCTGAGCCCCCTCTCAATCCAGCGATGTGCACAGAAGCCTCCACTGTCCCTGGTCTCTCTCTCCTCATTGACCATTGGCTCCCACTGCTGTCAAATATAGCCAGTGAGCCAATGAGGAGATAGCTGATGATGGGGCCGCGAGCATGCACCAGTGTCCCCAAAGCAAGTGGCCTGCTGTTGGGGGCACTGGTCAAGGGGTGGACCTAGAAACGCCAGAGATCTGAGAAGACGAGGATCGGGGCTGCTATGTGCAAAAAAACTCCACAGAGCAGGTAAGCAGAACATGTTTGTTATTTTAAAAAAACGAACCATTAATATCACTATAATTTTTTTTCACACATATAAAGTGTTCTTTTGGCGGTATTTGATCAACACTGATTTTTTTTCTCTTTTGCTATGTAAATGAAATAACACCAAAAATTTTTGAAAGAAACATATTTTTTTTTGTTTCTGTTAGGAAATTTTGCAAATAAATAATTTTTCTTCAAAAATGTAGGCCAAAATTTATTCTGTTA